GACAAGAAAATTTTTGGTTGTAAATAAGTCTTTGCAGTCAAGTTTTATTCTAATGGATCTGTAGCTTGCTCAAAGCTTGATTGTTTACTAATGGCTATGATCAACTTATGGGATTGGCTACTTGGACACGTACTCTCTAGTAACTAAGTTGAATTATGTCCATCTATTTTTGACGTTGGTTGCGATGAATAATTGGTCTCCACACCAGCATGATGTGAATGATGTCTTTTTGCATTGTGGCATGTTAAAAGAAGTATGCATGGAGCAACCTCCTAAGTCTGTGGCTCAGGGGGAGTCTAGGGAAGTATGTCTCCTTTGAAAGTCATTATATAAATTGAAGCAAAGTCCTCGAGCATGGTATTAAAAATTCAGCCAAACATTAGAAGAGTTTGTGGTGCAGAGAAGCAAAATTCTTTTCCCCCTATAGTCCATCAATAGTCAGCTTTGGAGCAGATACTATGTTACCTCAAAAGAGCTTCTAAACAAGATATTCTATATCAGAACTATGGGCACAAAAATATTGAATGTTTCTTCGTATAGATTAAGAGAGTTCCTAGATTGATCGAATATCCATTAATGTATATTGGATTTTTTTTTGTGACAATTTGGTCATGGAAGAGTAGGAAATAAAATGTAATGTCACGATCCACTGCATAATCTAAATATTGAGCAATGTCGCAAGCTTCAAATGAATTGATATGAATCCCCCAATTCATGACAAAAAAAGGTTTTAATATAACAACTCCAACAAATTTGTGGTGTGATGATCAAGTTGCAATTCATGTTGCTTCAAACACTATGTTCCATGAACGAATTAAGCACATTGAGATAGATTGTCATTTTGTTCGTTAAAAGATTCAACAAAATTTGATTTATGTAACTCTTATAAAGGTCGAAGAACAACTATGGGACATCATAACAAAGGCCCTAATAATACTAGGGTAACTTATATTTATAACAATTTAGGCATGATAAATATCTATGCTCTAGCTTAAAAGGAAGTTTTATGAAAAATAATAAATCTAAAACTTGTATGTTAGAAAGTGTGTATATTAGCCAGCTAATATTAAGTGATCTAATAAGAAGAAATCTAATTAGAGGATCTTTTCTATATTAGATATTTTCCTAGTCTATAGAGATAAGGTAACATATTTTTTCAATTGAGAAATAAGAGAAAGAGTGCTCCCCATCACACTAACAATAAGACATAACTTAAAAACATTTAAAGCAAGAATTGTAACTTTGCAAGAGTTGTTATCTCAGATGAAATTTTAAAAAAATGGAAGAGTTTAAATGTCCCGTATTTCATAAAAGTAAATACTAATATATCAACAAGACATGAAACAATAATGAAAAACAAATGACTATCACGATTAGGCATGTAGTTTGACTTGAATTCTAGCCATAAGGAATTAATCAATTAAATGTGGTATGGATAAATAATTAACCTCAGTATTTGATTTGAATTAGTTTAAGAAAAAGAATGACCAACAAAAGAAGACAGCTGAAAATTTCGAATAACTCCACATACATGCATTAATCAAAATTTAGAAAATATATTTAGAAAATGTAAGAAAATGCGTTTGATCTAAATCCAAAAGGAGATTAAATTACACGAGCTTAGTCTCATATCAAAGAATCATATGCATCTTAGTTCCTATAACCATGCATAACTAATGTCAACTTTCTTTGAACTATTTATTAGGAAATAAATATAAAAGAATAATGGCTTTAATATAAAAATGTATTGAAAGAAAAGAAACAAAAGAATATATAAAATACACTGGATTTCTTGAAATGGAAGCTGACTACAAAAATGTCTAACCCAATGAAAGGAGGTAACAGTTTCACTAAGCGATAGGCATGCAATTCATTTGGTGATGTGGAGTTTTGCTTTGATGTTTAGCATGAAAGGTACTCCTTGATACTCTCGCAGAGATATGCAAGCTCTTCTGCAAGCATATTTATTCAACATACTGCTTTCATATTCACACACAAGACAAAATTTTGATGTGCTAGCTTTTAAAAGAAAAAAACATAGCAACTGAAAAAAAATACTGAAAGAGGCCTTGACAAAATGTACCCTAAAAAAAAAGGTATTTTAGCCAAATGCCTGATGGTAAAGAAATGGAACAATTAAAAATTTAAAACTTGTTTGACATGAAATTGATCTAAAAATTTGTCAAATTTAATGTAAGATGTTAAAGATTCATTAAGTTACTTGCTTGAAATCCGCAGCTTTAAAAACACTTTGAATGTTCTATGAGAATGCTTTCAAGAAATTCTTTTTGGTTAATCATGGTATGGCAGAACCCCAAGCAAGAGTTAGAAGTTTATGAAAGACAGCAAAATAGCCATAAGAATCCCTACACATGGATATAAAAGCTTATATTGGAAAAAAGAAAAAAGTAAAAATTTGTCATTCATCAAAATTTTTGTATAAAGTATCGAAAGGATTGGATGTACCAAAGGAAATAACTAATAGGATAAGATGGAAATCCAATTAAATTTGATCATGGGGCATTTATAAATCACCAATAACAAATAAAGCAATTAAAATATAGTTTCATTTCCATCGTTAGCACCTGTTTTATGATGTTTAGTTCTTCCTCTTCTCAAGCTTCCTTTATTAAAACCCCAACATACTATATTAGTAATAAAGAAACCGATATGATATGCTCAAAAGGTTTGTTTAAATTGTGTATCAACCTGTCAGGATTAGTCTTATTTCAATTATGATATAGATTCGGGTTAAGCATTTAAGTGGCAGCTTAATTTGGTTCATATGGCTTTTAAAAGATGTTAGGAAGGGTATATAAGCCTTGGAGAAAATTTAGGAGTAGCATTAAGTTCCATTGCAATAGTAATTGGCCGAGCAAGAAAATAGCCCCAAACCCAAAAGCATGCTTGTCTAGAGCTTTTGATGTGAAGAGAATATGAGATCTGTCAACCTAGGCTCTCAAGTGTTTCACAATTTTTCAAGGGTTTTAAGTAGGTCAAATGGATGCAAAACAAGACTAAGTTGAATTTAGTCAAGTGCAGACCGAGAGCCCCCAAAGTGTTTTTGAAGAGAATTAAAGATGGAATAGAATGAGGAACGGTAGTAGAGTATGGGGATAAGATTGAGGAAGAGCTCTACAATAAAAGTCAGTAAGTTTTATAGAAATTTTGTAAGCTACTACACATCAAAGTAGTAAGAATTGAAAAGATCACCAAACCCTTTCAATGGTGAGGTCACCCACCAAGCCCTTGCTTCTTTGAGAAGAAAATCCAAAACTGCAGCAAACCAACATGTACCCCCATCTCTCCACTAGCATATAATATTTATAACATTTTACATGAAAAGTAAATTAAAAAAATAGCAAGGAGGGGAGAGTAAGGAACAACTGCATAAAAGGGTACAAACGCAATTAAAACACCATTTGGGAAGTTTAACTTCTACCAGTTTTGAAAAAGGAAGCCAGTCATAAATGCTTATATAGTGATTTCCCTTTCATTTTTCAACCATCAACTCCATTTAAATTCATTGAACAGAAATCCCACCACAATTCAAATTTTAAATTTAGAAATTTTAGTTTCAAAACATGACTTTTTATAACATATATGAAAATAAAAATTCTAATTAGAATTCTCTAATTGACTTATTATCATGGATATTCGTTTGGCAGCAACTTTCTTCTTAACTTGGGCTATTATGGTTGGTCCAGGCCTCCCTCCTCAAGTTCCTTGTGCTACATCAAGTTTAGGCTAAGAAGGAATTCTACTCACACTTCCAAATTCAAGAATATGGGCCAATAATCTTTAATATAGACTTAAGATTCCCCATAAAAGAACATTCTGTGGAAAAATGGTATACAAGTGAAAGATGCCAGGCATCAAAGAATGAACGTTCTTCAAAAAATTCCAAGTAAATTGTGCTTCAAATGTCAAAACCAACTATCACAATTGGAAAAATAATATTCTTTGCCAAACAATACAGAATCCGTTCTCATGCTAAATTCAATTAAAATAAGAATGTTTTAAGGACATCCACATGCTTCAAAACTATAAACTAAAGCCAATAGAAGACAAAAATTTAAGAATCTATGCATGATCATAATGAAGATAGACAACAATTTAGTAAGAAAAACAAATTACTTGTGTAGAATGCCATTATCATATATTGCTGTGGGGCATGGGAAGCATAGTATGAAAACTTAAAGTTTGAAATATTCTTAAACATGTTTGGGCTAATAAGAATTCAAGACATTTTCAGTCCCTTGCAATGGCTCCTAAAATAAAACAATTGAAAATCAATCAGGAGCATAATTTCAATCACCAAATCATTATCTTACAACAAAACAAACTGCATTATATTTGGTACCTGAAAGAAGAACAAAGAAAAAAGCCAAACAGATAATTGATTCAAAGTTCTCTCAAAGGATCATAAGAGTTCCTTTAAGTTTAAATCCAATATAGCCAGACACGCATTTATAGGGCCTGAAAAAAATCCTTAATTATATTGGAACTCATAAATAAATTGCAATGCCCTGGCAATGCTTTGAAGTTTATAGCTAACTACCCTTACCCCAAGCCTGAATGCAAACAATCATCAGCATACCCAAGCAAAAGGATCAACTTAACAAACAAGTTCTTTAGACAAACCATCGACATACCTAGTATGATATGAGAGACATTAAAACAAAAAACCATATACCGAGGTGGTCACATCAGATCTCCTGTAGAGGACATAAAATAAAATAAAATAAAACTTGCAGCATGCAACCATTGAGAGTGGGAGTTGAAATTAGGCCATCTATGGGAATTAATGGAATATTGAGAAGAGTGCTTCTTCTCCACTTATAATCAACCTGTCGGTCAACAAAGCCTAAGCACCAAAATTAATGATAAAATTTTTCGGGGCTGATCGTGCACATGAGAACTTCAATTTCATTCAAAAACCAACAAATTTAATGAAACAAACGAATCAACGGAGTAAATAAATAATAATAATAATAAACCTGAGCTTTGTCGGCGAGCTGGACCACGAGGCGGGAGATGGGGAGAGGAGATTCGTAGACGAAGGAGTGATTGATACACTCGTTGCGAAGGTATCTGGAGAGCACGCGACCATCAGCCGTTAGGCCGGCGATAGCGACGCCGATGTGGTCATCCACTTTAAAGATTTTCTTCTGGTGAGAAGAAAGTTCGGAGGTTGCCTTGTTCACGGTAGCCAGAACGATGTGGGTCGCAGAACGTAGCCCAATTGCAGCCGATCCCTGCTTCACCGCCTCCATTGCGTACTCCACTTGGAAGAGCCGCCCCGCAGGGCTCCAAGTCGTCACATCGGTATCGTACTGATTCCGAAACATTTTTCTTCTTTCTACCACGAAGGTGTAACGTCCTCCTTTCGTCTCGAACGCAATAGAATCGGAGGAATCGGAGGATTTGCGATCTGTGAGCGCCGTCAATCGATGCTGAAGTGTCGGCCAAGAAAATGGAAGCAGGGTTAAAAAAGAAAAAAAAAAAAGTTTTTCTAATACATATTTTATTTTTAGCACATACCACCGAATAACTATTTGTTTATTTATCCAACTACCGAAGATGGATATTACACTTGTAGCACATTGGTGTTATAAGCCTATGCATAAAATGTGTATTTCAAATATTAAAATTTATAATGTGAAGTTAAAGATTTGAGTGGCATGCATGTGAATATGAATATTTAGGAGTCCGACATGTAAATATGTAAGAAATGAGTTGTATGCATCTAAATGCCCCTTTATTTAAGAAGTTATCTATAAGCTCGTTTTGTTTCACCCTATCTTACAAATAACAGAATAAATCACTGCTCAAAGAGTTGTGGCGGCTATTATAATTTTTTTTTAATTTTAAAAAGTCATATTGCAAGCGAGGGCCGAGGAAGAAGAAGAGGAAAATGCAAAAGTGAGATTGGTAAAAATGGTTGTAAGGAGAAATCTTAGATGTTATCTTAATTTTAAATTGAATGTAGTATATGATTATTTAATCAAAATTTATGTTATATTCATCTAAAGAAAGCAAAGATTTTAAGATCAATCTTGATTAAATTTGAATAGTCAGGATATGTGGATACAATATTTTTCCTGTCTTTATATAATGAACCATCATTAAAGTTCCAACATTCAACATGAATTACAAGGCATGATATAAATCTCAAGAGAGTCTTTTTAGCAGAAAATGTTCGGTTTGATAAAAAGTCATGGAGAGCCTCCATTTCAATAAACTTTAGTCAAACTGACCGGCTTGATGAGATGGACCCGATGATACAAAAATTGATTAAACATCATCTCATTTTTCACCAATTGAGTGGTAACAAATCAAACCAATTTTAATGATTAACATATCAATTTATCTGAGGCTACACGCTTAGTCACTATATCAATATGTATATGATTCAATATTTTTGCATGTGCTCATTCTCTCTACATTATTTTATCAAAAAAATCAAAAGCTATATTGAAAATGCAATTTTGTTAAATCAGCTTAATCTATTTTTAAAATTGGGTGCACTTTGTAATTACTTTTTCCGCTAATGCAATGGTAAAAAAGATGATTTGCATGTATATTGCTAGTCTCTTAAATATTTAAACATTTAATATTCAAACAAGAATTTACATATCTATCTCCATTTTTTTTTGTTCGTCGGAATTCATTTTTACCAAACTTTATTTATCGGAAAAAAAAGACGATTAGTAGTTAGAGAAGAGCAAAGAAAGGGCTAGAAGTGATGGAAAAAAAATCCATTGTTAGGCTAAAATGTTAAATAATAGGCAAGAAGTAGAACCCAAAATTCAAAACTTTGGCTCTCATCTAGGAGAAATATTTACGTACATAAGATGTACGCAGCGCTGCGTACATCAGAGGTTATTCAGGGGGGGGTACAATGAGAATTATATCTGGGTTATACCCCCTTGTAACCTCCGGTATAACCCGGATATAACTCCCCTGTACCCCCAGAATAACCTCTGATGTACGCAGCGCTGCGTACATCTTATGTACGCAAATATTTCACCTCATATCTAGAGCCCTTATTTATAAGCATAGATCTAAGGTTTTATGCGCCACAAAATTACTTATACATATAATAGAATGCAAATATATAAAAATAAAAGGTGCATGTGGCCTACATACAAACTCAAGTTCCGACTAGAAGTCGGCTGATGGGCATGAAAGATTCATGGAGTCTCTTTGTGATGAAAATCAAGTAGCACTTTGATATGGTAAATCTGACAAGTTCAATATGGAGATTTAATAAGTTTTTTTATGAGCCAAATTGGATGTCCCTTTCTTCTGTAGGTTGGCAAGTCCATCTAATACTTGGCTCACAAGTTCAGTTGGAAATACGTTTACATGTTTGCTTTGAGCCAATTTGGCGAGTTTTAATCTTTTCAAACACATATTGTGAGTTTGTGCGTTTAGGTTATACACTGTTTATTTATATAATATGTTTTATGTCGCAATCACATCAAAACATATACTTGAAAATGTGAATTTCACTTTTGATGAGTTAATAATAATGATATTTTGATGTAATGCTAAAGACTCGCATGTTATAAGAATAAATATTGAGTTTAGACACTAGATATTGAAATACATAATAATTGTGTGGTATGTAATTAAATCCATATTATTAAATTATTGTATCTATTTATATATATGTATCATCATATTGGCTAAATGAAAACAAAATATATGCCTAGAAAAATGTATTTTACTCCAGATAACTCTATCATAGTGACTCTTTTGATGCATTTAGCGATTAAGATGTTGTCTATGTAATTATATTTAAAAAATTACATATTAAAAATATAACCACTGGAGAATTTTAATACATGTAAATTTTCCTAGCAAACAAACCACACATTTTCTTTACTTTTATTTATCTACGACATTTGTTTTGTTACTGCTATAATATTTTAATATCTCAATCATATCAATCATATATATATATATATATATATATATATATACAGACGATGGTTATAAAACGTTGGTGGATAGCATACTATAATATAATCAAATAAACTAAAGATTCAGAATTTCTATTAACTGGTCATTAAATTTAATTAAAAATTAATTAAGTTATGGTTATGAAAGCCATGCTATTTTAGCTTCGGCCGAGCATAGATTGTCCATGTAGACTTCACCAATGGTGAACTTATTTTTATTTGAAAAGTTTAAATTTATGATAAGAGTTTATGATATAATGACTTGTTCTTGAAACATAGATTGCAAGTATGTAAGTATATAGAGAGATAATGAATAGTGATCAATCGTGTCGTATTCTTAAATGATTCTCTTATTTATAGAGAAGATAATAAATGATAATATTATTATATTTTTGCCTATACTTTAATGGGATTAATACTGGGGTACTCTGGTATTTTGCATATCTGAGCTTGTCATCCAACTGCTTTCTAGCTCAACAAGCTAAGCTTAATTGGCTTTGGGCCTACGGGATTAGTTCGGTCAGTTGAACTAGGTCAGCCTTCTCAGTCCTCTTGATTGGGTCGGTCGTCCAAACTAGTATAGACTAAATTTATTTACTTGTCATGTTAAAGTTCAACATATAGGTCATTAAGTATAAAGTTCAACATATTGATCATCAAGTATTATATACTAAGAGCCGAATTGAATCATAATCTCTTTGACAAAAAAATGTTTCAAATATAACGTGGCATTTTGTAGTTTCGTCACAATCCTTAGTGGAACTAACTCGCCGATAAAGTTAATGACCATATATATATATATATATATATATTAAAAGGAAATTGGTATCGATTTCCCATGCGCTAGGCCCCATGATTAGAGTCTTCACCATGTGTCTAAATATTCGAGAACCCAACGCCATTGGGGATTGAAATCGTGACCTGAGGAAACTTACAGTGAACCCCGCCAACCAACAAACCATGATTTTAGTTTTAGATATATATATATAAGGAATATCTTGCACATGATTTTATTTAAGTTTCAATCGTACAACTTCTAATTTATAAATCAAACCCTTGGTGAGAATTTTCACCAAAAAAGAGGTATTATTCTAAAATTATATGAAATCTTATTAAAAATAGATCAAACCTCAAACATGCAAGAATAGCACCTCAATGAATGGCCACTAATTTCATGGTTTATGAGTACTATGAAATTTTTTTAGCATTTATATAAATGGACATCCATAATAAATTTACTTAAATTTAATTCAAAAATACTAAAAAACAATAATTTTAATATGTTCATTTCAAGTCATCTATTTCTTTATTTAGTTTGATCATAAGTCAAATCATGATAAAATTCAACAAATTAAATCACTAAATTATTCTTAGCAACATAGGGGTCATGCCTAAAACAAATCATCTTTATGTGTTGCAATTCTTCCGAATTGCAGTGGCAATAGTTTCAAATAGAAATAAATTTTTTTTTATGTGAAATAATGTAAAAGTCTAAAATCATATACTATACATAATCATTTAACTCCAATCTCAGTCTATTCTTTTACAAGATCTCCATGGAGAGCTTTATCATGCAACTTTGCAACTGTTTCAAATCATTTCCAGTTACAGCTCCTCCTATCATCAAAAGAATGTGCAATGCAAGCCAGCTGAAAGGTTCTTATGATGAAACAAATTGAGAAAAAAACTATGTTGGCTGAAGATTTTCCTGTGGTGAAACAATTTGAGGTGAATTATGTATCCTTCTATTATGCAGTTTGTATTTTTGAAACATTCAAATCGGTTTTAGAGAGTTAGACATTATAAAAATTATAGATTTTAACAATTTTTTTCTCGGTGTAAAATAAGGAAAATGCTATAAAAAGTTTGGATATACCTGTAAATGGTTTTTCACTTCATTATTTGTCTGCTCAGGAACCATCATCATTTCTCTAATTTGTTTTGAAGTTGCAACTAAAAAAGTTAATAAGCTAAAACCATGTTACATTCCAATTCCAATTGAATCGAACAAAAAAGTAAGAATTTAATTTTTTGTCTTATCGCATAATACAGTACAACATTAAAACACATTAGCTACAACTCCCACCACCAAGTTCTTGCAACGTGATTATAAAATACTGGTGAAGTTCCGACGACCAAAAACACCACACTTTTCTCTTAGTCTGCCGGATAAGATTGTCATTGACATTCGCCATCCCAGGGTCTATTGGGGCTGAGATCTCCGGAGAAAAATCTAAACACGAAGTTCGTATTATTTTCCTCTTTCCTTATCAAAAAATCTTCAACTCTGCTTTGAGATTCTAAACACGCAGCATTGTCATTCTGTATCTGTGAAAACTCCCTTTTAATGCAAATTTGCAAAATAACAAAGGAATGAAAGAAAAAAAAATGAGTTATTTTTAGTTTTTATAGAAAAACACTACGTAGAAATCATTTATGAAAATGATATTCTGATCATTATAATTAACGTTCTAAAGTTGATCAGAGCTCATCCAATCCATCTCTTCCACGTTGTTCTCTCATTGCATCTCTTTATGCTCATCATTTTCTTCATATTCTTAACCAACATATTTCATGTTCTCACCTTGCTCCCCATCATGTTTCAGTTCATCAATCACTAGCATAAGTGACAAAATAATTAAAAAGAAGCAATTTTTCATAAACAAAATTATTGAGAATGCACATAAAATTAAAGAAACCATGAGTTAGGGAGTGCACGAACAATGAGAAGAATCATGCATAGAGGAAGCTCACGTCCAAGCACTTCGATTTCGCAACGTTCTTCTTCTTGTGGGTTGATCAAATCCTTCAACTGTAACTTATTATTCAAAAGGCAGCCCATAGAATTGAGCCCGAGTCCCATATTTTGCTCTCTGATCTCAAAGGTTTAATTTTTAAATTGCAACTTCACAGCAGAACGAAACGGAGAGTTTAATAAAGGATTAATATGAATAGAGGGTTGTAGAGAAAAAGTTCTTATGAACGAGATAAATGGGTGGATTTAGCTGAGTTAGCAAAAATTAGGCAACTAAACTCAAAAGATTCAGTTCATTCGTCGTGTATTAAATTGAGCTCCAGATATCTGCTATTTTATTTGATTATGAATCCTGAAAAAATAAAACTATTTATTAAAAAAATTGGAAATAGATTAATTAAATTTGAATGTATTAATAAAATAAAATAATTTATCTCTTTATCAAATATATAAGTAAAAAAGTCCAAACAGAGTTTTCCATCTTATGAAATTCTAGGTGCATGGTGACATGTAACCAAGTTTTTATATTATTCTTCAAGAAATTTTAGCACATCTAGTATTTTTTATTTATAAGCTATATTTTACTTATTATTGGTTCTTAAATCTCACAACCCTAATAAGAACATTATATAAGAATTGATTAAATTTTTTTTTATTGTATCATCATTATACTCATTGCAGTCTAGAAAATGCATGAGAGCGGAGCTGTAATTTATTATATTAGCATTGCACGACGATCAAGTATACACACAAATAAGAAAAAAACATCATAGGAGAAGATACTGAAGTTTTTTTTTTATGAAAAATCCAAAAAAAAAAGAGAAATCACGTGATTTAGCCTAACCAAGCAGATCCACCATGTAATCATTATTATAGAGGTCCGCTTTTCACCAAAATTATGGGAGATGTGAACATAAGAATATGTTAAAATCATAAATGATTTGAAGTAAACTCAACAATTATAATTGTATAAAGATAGTTAGACCTACAACTGTTGAATTATGAGTATAATAGTCATGTTGAGCTTATAACAATCTTAGCTAACTATAAAAGTTGTGGTTTATGGCTATAACAGTCTTGGTAGTGTTAAAAGCTTCGCTCATTGACAACCCTAATGTCACCTAAGCTACAATGCTTTAAACTGCTTTGATGGGACGGATTCCCATTTTTTTATAATAATTTTAAATTAGACATACTTAATTTGATCTTTAGAACTATTGTTCATTGTAGACAAATAGTCTGAATTTATATTATCAAAATTATACTAATAAAAAATTATGCATAAAAATAAAAGTAATTCCAGTTAATCGGGCTAACCAAGCTTAATGTAATAGAATAAGATTTCAATTTTATTGATTAAATTTAACATTATTTATTTATTTACAAATTTTTAAAATTAATAATTTATATTATACATACATAAATACAACTATTAACTTGCATATACCCCTATATATATATAAACAGAGAGAGAGAGAGATCTCCAAATAATTAATCCTAACTCAACCTATCAAGTGCTTTCAAAAAGAAGCCTACTAAATTTATAGGGACATTTACATACATACCACCTAATTCTAATGTATTTACAAATCTAAGTACCTATACTTTAATTTTTACATTTATACCACCCAAATCTTTCATATCACATGAAAAATATTACTATTTTAACTTGATAAACTGATTAGTGGAAGCAAGTGGGTGATGTTTGAAATTTAAACCAGCAGTGCAGTAATTTTACTATTTTCTTGTACTTAAAAATAAAAAAAATGTGGCATTTACATTCATTCTGCTCATTCTTTATGTTCTTAAATTTCTAAACTTAAACTACTCTTTGTAATTATACCTTCCAAATCTTTCATATTACTTAAAAGATGCCACAAGATTAATTTTTAAATAATGAATTACATTTTTCTTCCATGAGTGAGGTGATATGCAAGTAAAAAAATTAAAATTTAGGTGTTAGATATGTATTACAGGAATTGGGTGGTATGTATGTAAATCTTTCCTAAAAATTTTGACCATTTACATGCATACAACACAATTTTTATTTATATACATATCTAACATCTTAACATTCATATTTATATGCATATCACTCAAATTTTTAAAATCATATAAAAAAATGCCACAATCACTTTTTTCTTAAGAGAGAATATTGCTTATAGATTGTGTATGCACGCATATTTGAAGTATAACAGTACATAATATTATTGTACATGAAGTATGCATGCACATAAATCCTGCAGTAATAATTTCTTTTGTTGTTGAAATTGAAATACATCTTTTCATGCATAAATAAATGACAATAAAATAAATTTTTTATTATTAAAACTGAAATGCATTATTTCATGCATAAATGTATGACAATAAGATTTAGTATATATAAATATCAAACTTTAGAGTGTTATAGCATAAATACATAAAAATTATGTGGTAGATATGTAAATCTCAAAAAAAAAAAAAAAAAAAAAAAAAAAAAAAAAACAGAATTCCCCCACCACTAAACTTCCTATCCAAATCCGGAGTTCCCATTCGGCAATCCCGTAATCCCCTTATCTCCTCCCCTCCAGAAAATATCCACTCATCTAAAACCAGGATCACCTCCAATCTCCCTCACTCTCTTACTCCTCCAGCCATGGCGATGACCTCCCCCTCTCTGTTTGCCTCATCCCCGCTCAACCCCACTCGCCCCCTCTCCCTCTCCTTCTCCAAACTCGACGCCGCCACGCCCGCCCTAAACCCTAACCCTAATCCTCCCCCCGCCGGATTTACCCCTCCCCAACTCGATCCCAACACCCCCTCCCCGATCTTCGCCGGCAGCACCGGCGGCCTACTCCGCAAAGCCCAAGTCGAAGAATTCTACGCCATAACATGGGACTCCCCCAAGCAGCAGGTCTTCGAAATGCCCACCGGCGGCGCCGCCATCATGCGCGAGGGTCCCAATCTCCTCAAATTAGCTCGCAAGGAACAGTGTCTTGCCCTAGGTACTCGCCTCCGATCCAAATACAAGATCAATTACAGGTTCTATCGCGTCTTCCCTAATGGCGAGGTGCAGTACCTTCATCCCAAGGATGGGGTTTATCCGGAGAAGGTGAACCCGGGAAGGCAGGGCGTCGGCGTTAATGACCGCAATATCGGGAAGAACGCCGATCCGATCACCGTCAAGTTTACAGGTAAGCAGGTTTATGATTTGTAGAATCGTTTGGAGATCTTGATCTTGTTTTTATGATGTTTGTTTTGTAACTATGGTTTATGGATGATGGGAATTGATTGCTGTTTGATTTTGGTCTTGATTGATGTTTATGCTATGTTAATCTTTCTTAGAGAGAGAGAGAGAGCAAGTGTGTGTGTGGAGACACAGAATATTAAATAGGGAGTATAGATGCATAAAGATTTACAACATTATTGTACATTGTTGTACAAGATATGTTTGAAGTTCGAATGCAACCAGATTCTGCACATAATAATTTGAATTGAGGTCTCAAGTTGGATCTAAATGGTGTTCGAATGTGTAGCACAATAGTTAGAAATAAAGTAAAGAATTTCAATGTGTCAAATTTGAGCATTCATCTTGCTAAAAAAAATATTAGAACTTCAAAAAAATGAAATATGCATTTTGATGCATATGTAAGGTGGTGTATGTGAAAAACTTGGAAGTTTAGGCATTAGATATGTAAATGCACGAGAATTTAGTGATATGCATGTAACTCTTTATATGCAAATGAAGACATCTAAATTGGGAATCAGGCCTGTATATAGGTAAGTGGAATCCTCAAAATTACCAATCTTTATCCTATGCTTGTGCCCATGTCTTAAATTTTCAAAACAAACGCAAGACCTATAAGAAAATTTGGGTCTTGAGTCAAACGTGCTTGAATCTCTAACTAGGGCTGTAAATAAACCAATGAACTCGATGAATAACCCGAATTCAATTCGATTAAGGCTCGATCATGTTCATTCAAACTAGTAAATAAAAGAGCTTGAACAATTTTTAAAAACTCAAAGCTTAAATGAACTAGACATGAGCATTGTTGAACTTGTTCATTTATGTACACGAACAAACTTATTTGTTATTCAACAAATAAGTTGTTAATCACTCGATATTACGCTCGATGATAGTTCGTATCATGTATGATATATTATTTAAATAAAATTTAATTACTTAGAATTTTAACTTGTTTGTTGATAACTCGATGATAGTTTGTATTATATATGATATAAAAATACTCGGATATTAAGTTTATGTAGGTTTTAAAGTTGACGTTTTTAGTTATTTTTAGGATTTAGGTTAAATCATGCTTAAATGCTACACAAATCATTCTACTAAATAACCTCTAAGTAATAGATTTTTTGGAAAATGGAAGAGAAATGAGATTTTAGATATTGTAGAGTTTAGAATTTTTAATCAATAAATTAGTAGTTGCAATCAAATTTTTATTAATTTTTTTGTATGAAAATCTAGATGCTCATTCAAGTTTCTAGGTCGTTTAAATACTTTTCATTTCTCATAAATAAATCAAGTGCAAATTAAGTTCAAATATTAAAAGCTCGACACAAACACAAGCTGAACATGAACAATTTATAATAATTATACCAAGCCAAGTACGAAGTATGATATAGTCGACTTGATTACAACCCAATGTGTAACATATTGATTGGAAACAAAATGTTGAATTTCAAAATGTCAGAGATAACACACACACATATCCGAGCCCCTTTATTTTGAAGATTTACTTACATACCACTTAAATCCTATGCATTTACATATTTAACACCAAAATTTCAAATTTTCACCTTTACGACGCCTTACCTATACATGAAAATGTGTACTCTACTTTTTAAAATTTAAAATAGTGGTATCTTTTTTATGTGTTAAAATTTTGAGCCGTATAAAGATAAAGTTCAAGTGTTAGATATGTAAATAGATAAGAATTGGGCGGTATGTTTGTAAATTCCCCTTTCATATAGATGCATATGGTGGAGCATAGAAATAAATGCTTGTTGCCTTGTATTTTAATAGTTACAATTTTCATTTTATATGGTAACAGATCTTATTGCGAGAACAATTGCATCAATATGCGTCATTTTAATTTTAAGACATGCAACTCAAGCATTGCGTGGCTGCCTCAATGCACTATGAGTTATTGTTGTCTCTTTTCATGTTGTGTTTGGGGCAGCGATGTGGTGGCGGTGTGATGTTGCACTGTATTTTGTGGCATTTGGCAAAACTGTGTTTTACTTGTTTTTTCATAAAATTGTAGTGGGATGTTGTGTTTTGCAACTAGTTCTAGCGACGTGCAGTGAGTGCCAAAAAGTTACAATCTAATTTTTTAAATATTAAAACAAAATTATAATAGCTACCATAACTTTTTAAACTGCAATTTATTCTGGTATTTGTAAGATATGGTGGAAGGAAAATGAGCTTATATATAAATAAAAGGGGCATTTAGATGCATGCAACTCTTTTCTTCTATATGTACATGTCCAACTCCTAAACATCATATTTGCATGCATACAACTCAAATCATTAACTTTACATTAAAAATTTTAATATTATTTTCTTTTTAAAAGTGAAATACACATTTTATGCATGGGCTTATGACTCCAATGCACTATATGTGTAATATCCATCTTTGGGAGTTGGATAGATAAGTAAATAATTATTTTTTGGCATGTGTTAGTTTCCCCTAAATAATGTTAATTTCATTAGATTACTTTTGAACTGATTGCAGTGTGCATAATTAATTAATTAAAATTTATATTATGCTCATCTCATAATGATATTTGAGATTTACTGTGATCAAATTTGATCAGGATATGTTTACTAAAGATTTTTATTCCCTTTACTTGTATGTAATTACATACTTATCACTTAAAGTTTGATATTTTCATTCTTTACTCCTGGATGTCATAAACCTATACATGATATTTTGTATTAAAATGCTCCCTTTCTCAAATATCATTAGTCCGATAAATTCAAATTTTTGGGGCAGTTACATACATACCACCCAATTCCTATGTACTTACGCATCCAACACCTGAAATTTTATGTACATTCATGTGGTCAAAATCTTCACATCACATCAAAAACACTACTATTTTCATATATTGGTAAGGTGGTAAATATGTAAAAATTAAAGTTTAGATTTTAAATGTGTAAAAATACAAAAGAATTGTGTGGTATATGCGCAGAAATTAAAGCTAGGCGTTATATATGTAAATACGTAGGAATTGGGTGGTATGAATGTAAATGGCCTAATAAAGAAATAAATAAAAAAAAAAGACAATGATTTGGTTAATTACTTGAAATAATTATAAGAAAGATTTCAATTTCTGTTCCATACTAATAAATTAATACATTAAATATTTAGCGTTCATAATAATGCTTAACCCAACAATGTCATGAGTTTATGAAACCAAATGACTGCATTCAAGAGCGGATTTGCAGTTATGCCCTTAGTTTCAAGAAAATTATTAACTAAGTGATGAGATAGTAGAAAACTAATTGTCATTTATATAATCAATAGAAAAATGAATTTATAAAAAGAAGTGCCATTTATTTTTATTCCACTATTTTACCTACAAAATCTGCATTTTTTGTTGCAAATTATTAAATATAGCGTTATAAAAAAGGTATCCATAATAAAATATTGCATTCATATTTGAATTATTTAAAATAAAAATGAAAAAAAAAATCTTACCATTTTTTAGTTAACTCCAATATCTCCAGTGGTATTGCAATTGAACACTACTTAAAGTTTTCTTTTGTGCAAATATATTGATTTAATATTGCTTAAATGAATGAAAATGCATGCATATATATAGGATCACAAAATATTTTTTTTTTTCACATTATGAGCATGCAAATCACATAAAAATATGATAATCATAAAGAATGAGTGCATGCATGGCTTTATATTAATGCAACAAAAATTGCATGTATGCTTTCATGGCATGTGCATGCATGCGTGACCAAAACCATGAAATTACATGCCAAATTAATTTTGCTATTCATGTTTTAATTTAAAAATTTGTCAGGTTATGATTTGACATTTTAACCAAAAAAAAGAAAAAAATTGTAATAGTCATGATAAATTGTAATAGTCATGATAACTTTTGATCAATAATTATTTTTGCATCAGCTTCACAGTTGTTTCTTTAAACAACTACAGTCGTCCCAAATAAATCCTAAACATTGACTTATTAAATATCATTGTCTTTGCTATTTGTAAGATATATATGGTTAAGGAAAATGAGCATATGTCTAATTTCTTAAATAAAAGGATGTTTTCATACATACCACTCAATTCTTACATATTTAACTCCTAAACTTTTATATTAATATGCATACCCCTTAATTAAATCTTTCACCTCACATAAAAAATAACAATATTGTTATCTTTTTTAAAGGTGAAATACACATTTCATGCATAGTATTATGACACCAATGTGCTATAAGTGTAAATATCAAACTTTGGGTGTTGGACAAATACATAAATAAGAATCATGTGGTATGGATGTTAATTTCCAAGAAGCAAATTTTAATATCATTAGATTACTTTGGAAATGGTTGCAGTGCATAATTAATTAATACAATTTATACTATGCTCATCTCAAAATAATTTTGAGATTTACTTCGATCAAACATTTTGATGTGGTGTTAATGATTTGAGTGGTGTGCATGTAAATACGAAAATATATGTGTTAGATATGTAAATATGTAGGAGTTGTATGATATATATGTAAATGCCTCTTTTTTCTATATGTTGAGAACATTGTAAAGAATGATTAGTACAGCTAATTTATGTAAAAAATTGTACAGCTTAGCTCAAGTGGTATGCTTCCTAATTTTTATGATAAAGGTATTATAATCTTCTTTAAACGATGTGATACATAATTTTTTGACTCTGTGAAATAGTATCCGTATAGAAATATCATATAATTAGCCCTATAAATTTTAATTTTTTGGGGCATTTACATACATACCACCCAATTCATATGTGTTTTATTGCTTCTAACAACATGAATTCACATGATTCATTATTGTCGACATGAGTCGCAGTAAAATCGTTACTCACCAGCAGTTAACAAACTATATAAATGGTAAATTGTGAAATACATTGACATAGTAGACATAATATTTTTCTCTTCAACTCTTTTAGTTTTATTAACTGAGACACTTGAGCAGGACGGTCCACCGAAATAAGTAAGAGTAAAATCATTCGTGATTCGTAACTCTCCATCAAAACATACCAATAAATGTGACATATTTGTACACTTCTTAAGCCTAATCCTTAAAAAAAAAAAATTATTC